CCATCGCCGGCCCCGGCTCCTGTTCCCCCAGCAGAGATCCTCTCTCTCCCCATTAGGGCACCTTCCGCCAGCTTTGGCTCCTCCCCGTGTCCCCACACCCCGCCTGCCCTCTCCCCGTCACCCGCAGAGCTGCAGCCAGCCTTGCTCTCCCTAAACACCCCAAATCTCACTCTCCCTTCAGAGGAGCCCAGTTCCAGCTGCAGCAGCCGCTCGTTTCCCATTTCCCGGGATCGCCAAGCCTCCACCCCACAAGGAGGGGGTGCAATGAGCCCCTCAGCACTGCTTGGGGCTAATTACCAGCTCTAATTACGGCCCCTCTGCTCCATCCATCCTTGGAGCGCGGGCTTCCCAACCCCTGGCATCCCTCGGCAGCATCTGCGCGCTGCCGGCACCTCCTCCCCCTCCGCGATCGACTTTATCACGAGGACTATTTTTAGCGTGGTGTACAAAGCCATTCCCATCACCGTTCCGTGGCGTTCACCTCTCCGGCTCCTTTCTCTCTCTCTTTTTCCGGTTTTTTCGGTTTTATTTTTTTGTTTTTTGTTTTTTGGTGGGTTTTGGGTTTTTTTTTTTTTTTTTTTTTTCTCCCGAGAACTCCAGGAAACGAAGGCAAGGGCGGGAAGATCCCCCGTGGGAACGCMGCGCGTGTGCGGGGCCGTGTGTGCGCTCGGGCTGGCGTGTGCCTTTGCTCGGGGCTCGCTCTCTCCACCGGCACGGAGCAGCACATGCTCGCCCCATGTGCCTGTTTACATGCTCTGTATGTCTGTCCGGCTGCATTTGTGTCACCGCTCGGGTGCAGACACCCAGCACCTCCCTCTTCTTCCTCACCTCGCACAGCACCCCTTCTCCCGGCAGGGATTGCGGCCACCCTGCTGTGACCTGCTTGTCCTCCTCTTTTGCCAAAGCACCCCAAAAGCGCCAGTGCCTGGGGACAGGGGCTGTGTGTCCCGTGTGACAGAACCATTCACACCCCAAACCCCCCATCCCCTGGGACAGGGGATGTATATCCTATATAACTATTCCCACCCCAAACCCTTATCTCTCGAGATGTATGTCCCATGTGACAGAACCATTCCCACCCCAAAACCCCTCATCCCTAGGGATGTATGTCCCATGTGACAGAATCATTCCCACCCCAAAACCCCTCATCTCTTGGGATTTATGTCCTGTATGACAGGACCATTCCCCAAAAGTGCCAGCACCTCAGGATACGGACTGGTTGTCCTATATGACCATTGCCACCCCAAACTCCCATCCATCAGGATGTATGTCCCATATGACAGAACCATTCCCACCCCAAAACCCCTCATCCCTAGGGATGTATGTCCCATATGACAGAACCATTCTCACCCCAAACTTCCCAAAACCCAGTATTGACAAGTCGGGGCAGCCCCGTGCCCAGTGACACCAAGATGAGAGAAGGGGATTACGAGTAGGGAATTGAGGGGACATCACAGCAGCATTCCCGTTCCTGGCTTCCCTTCCTGGAGACCCAGGGGTTGCTTTGCCGGGACACCCTTGGGTGAGGAGGGTGTGCACTGGGATTTTTTCATCCTTTTGGGGATTTTGACAGATTCTGGGAATTTAAATGCTTTCTAGGTCGCCTCCTTRGGTCAGGGAAAGGCACCTTGGGTTTTATTTCCACCCCAAGCTGTCCTGCAGTCCGTCTTAGTCTTTTTTTTCCGGCTTTTGGAGTTCTGTTCAATCAGGAAGTAATTTCATTTTGGTATTTTACAACGTCCTTATCCAAACTTCCTTTCTTCTCTCTGTTAGTGGCACTTGGATCCCAGTCAAGGGTCTCCCAGAAGGGATCCCGCTGCCCTCCGAAGTGATGTTTTTCTCGAGACCTTCAGGATATTTTCCCTCAGTCTCCTGGGAGCTGGTGGTCCATGACAGCAGTGGCATTGATGTCACCATATCCCCAAGCGCAGCAGGGTGGCCCTGTCCCCATCCCATGGGAGCACCCCCGTGGGCAGGTGGACAGAGCGAAGGTGACTCGGCCGCTGCGCCCGGGGTCAGGGCTGAGCGCGGCGGTCCCTGCGGTGCCGGTGCCTGTCCCCATCACCACAAGTGACAATCARCTGCCAAGTGCCGGCCTGACTTCCCCCGGCGGCAGCGGGCTGCCTGCTTTCTTTGGAAACGCCTTCTCATTTCCTGCCCGTCGCGGCTCCGGAGCGCGCACACGCGGCTTTCCAGGATTCCTTCGCCTACTCCTCAAGGGTTTAAACACTCGCATTCCCTGGATTTCGGGCTGACAAGGATCAGGTTCCTGCCCTCTGATGGCCTTACTGCCGCGGCACTGCCGCTCAAGGTCACCGAGCCTTCCCCTCCCCARTCCGCGGGATCGCTCCAGGATCCGGCCCCTCCAGGGCCGTTCAGGCATCTCTGGAGCGTCGTGCGAAACCCCGGCTGTGGTAACTGCTCCTTTGGAGCCAGTTACCTGGAAAGAAGAGCTGGAATGATCCCCTCKCAGCATGGCAGAGGGAACCGCTTGCATCCAATTTAAATCAGGTGTCAACGCTGAGAGAGGATCCTCTTAACTTCCACCGTCTTGTCTGAGGCTGCGGCGGGGGGACGTCTCATCTCGCTGCCGTCTAATCCGTGGAGATGTGTGATATAGCATAAGCTAATATAATAGGTCATGCAAGGATTTCCATCTCATTACGGCAGGTTAGAGTCCTGGCAGGAGGGATGACTCATTCCTTACTTGAATATATTTCAGGGATAAGGAGCGCTTCGGCGGCCCGAGGAAAAGCAAACGGGGAAATCAAGCACCTTGAAGCGTCATTTACCAGCTCGCTGCACCCTCTGATTGTCCCCCCAGCTCTCCGGCCTCTCCAGGAAAAGCCAAGGGGGCGGGAGAGCTGTAAAACCTCCCCGGAGGTGCTTTCCTTTGCCTTTTCCTCCATCCCTACAAAGCCCGGGCTGCGAGAGGCGGCCGAGGCCGGGCCGGAGAGCGACCATCGCTGCCATGTGGGACGGGATCCGAGGCGCTGCCGGGAGCGCCGGGCGGGTTTGCACCTCCTTGCCTTGGCCGAGTGTTGCTGCTCGTCAGGAGCTGTTTGCTCTTAGCTCCTCAGACAGGGAGGCTCCGTGGGAGCTGACCCATCTAACCCAGCCGGAAAAAATCGGTCCTGACTTCCAGTCTCTTATTGTTAATGGATGCTCACGGCGAAATCCGGAGTGAGCCAAGCTCCCGGGWCCAGCCGCATCCCAAAGCTGCTCCGAGCCCACGCGAGGCTCAGACCAGCACCCAGGGGTGCTTTTGCTTCTCCCTGCCCCTCTTTTCAGCCAGGCTGACAGCCGGAACGTGACCACTCCGCTGGCAACGGGACATCTGCGGAGCGCCCGGGGCTCCCAGCCTGTTTCTCAGCAGGCTGTGGCAGCTCATTGTGGGTTAAAATTAATTTTCCWTGGGTTTTCCATGGGAAAATGCTTAGGGAGGGCCTGCGGATCGGTGTGAAAAGCAAAAATCATCACTTCAAAAAGCTGTTGAGGCTCCTGAGCTGCCAGCTCGGGGTGAGCAGCAGGCGCAGCGGCACCTGCGCGGTGGGGGATGCTGTGGGTGACGCTGGAGTTGTGCCAAACGGCGCCTGGGAGGGATCTCCCTCATCCCGGCGTCAGTCTGAGCATTTGGATGCACTCGGGGGAACTGCTGGCATCAATCAGGGGGCTCTGCTCCACCAGGAGAGCCTCCACCAGCACAAATCCCCTGTGTTACCTCCGAAAGTTCCAATCCCTAAGAGCAGCGGTCACTGTCAAGCGGCTGACCGGATTATTATCCAAGAAAAAATGCATTATTTTAAAATCTGTTTTCCTCCTAAGACATAATTTTAACTTGGGGGGAGGGGGGAGGGGCATGGGAGGAGATGGGCCGAATCCCCCTCCCTCCGTCACTTTGTTCTGTCGCTTCACAGCTGTTCCATCATTTTAATCTGCAGAGATTGTCTTTATGTTTCGGAAATGAAATGATTTCCCGCAAGCCGGGATCGGGGTTTGGATCAGCGCTCGTTTTTCATGAGCGGAGAAGAAAAAAAAGGGAGAAATGTCTGCTAAAGCCAGGCTGGCCATCTGGAAGGGAGGTGCGTCGCTGATGCCATTAATTGCTCACTCCCCAAGGCCTGGAATACGGCTGCAGTCAAAGGGAAGAGCAGGAGCGGGAGTGGGGTCGGAGAGATCGCGGGAATGATGCAACAAAATCGATGTCTGCTCCATCCTCCCGATTTACSTGATCGATAAATGCTTTTGCGCCTGGGTTTTGGGGGCTGCGAGCAGCTTTAGTGATGATTAATACCGTAAAATCACGGAATCACAGAATCCCCGAGTGGCTGGGGTCRGAAGGGACCTCAAAGCCCATCCAAGTTCCACGGGCAGGGASACCTTTCGCTRAACCAGGTTGCTCCAAGCTGGCCTTGGACACTTCCAGGGATGGGAATACTTCCACGGAAATCATTAATAGGAGAACGGGGAGGGAACTTTTGGGCACGCCAAAAGGATGGRTGGATAAGCAAACAACAGTTGTGACCGGTGCCCGGTACATACGGCTTGTTCCGAGTGTCGAGCTCGGCTTTTCCTTCTGCCAGACCCGAAGGAGGGGGGACGGAGTGGGAAAAAAGGGAGCTGGAGTGGGTTTGGTCCTCTGGTGGGATGAAACAGCAGCGAATCACGGAGGGAAGGGGTATCCGGGGGGCTCCCCGCAGCCCCCGCCATGGCTCCATCCACCCCCGGTGCTCCCGGGGGGCTCTGGGGGCTCCTTCTTCCCGCGGGGATGGCGGCCCCGGCGATGTCCCGGGGCGGGTTAGGACGGCGGCGGCTCCGCCCGGCGGAGGGCGGCGGGGCCGGGGGGAGGCGGCGGGGCCGAGCGGGAGGCGGTGCCGCCGCCGCCGTGCAGGGACACACACACCGGAGCTGTGCGAGCCCCGGTGCTGCAGCGCCCGCTCCGCTCCGTTCCCGGCCGGGACCTCTCCGCCATGGGCGGCCGGGCGGCGCGGCCCCGCTGAACCCCGCACACCCCGGCAGCTGCTCCAGCACCCCCGCAACTCCGCTCCGCTGCCGCCGGCATCCCTGGAGCTCGGGGCTCCGCTGCCCTGGGAACTCGCCTCCACAGCATCCCGGCTGCCCGGGAACTCCGCTCCGCTGACCCCGGTTCCTCCGTCTCTCGGTACTCCGGCATCCCGGGAACTCCGTACTCCGCCGCCCCGGGAACTCCGCTGCGCTGACCGCTGGTCCCGGCTCCTCGGGAATTCGGTACTCCGTCATCCCGGGAATTCATCTCCRCTGACCCCATCTCCCCCATAACCCCGTGCCCCAGCTCCCCGGGTACCCATCTCCCCCGTCCTTGCCTCCTCTGCCACCCGGTGCCCCGGCATCCCGGGAGCTCAGTACCGTCACCCCGGTGATTCATCTCCGCTGACCCCATCTCCTCCATAACCCYGTTCCACAGCTCCCCGGGGTCTAGCTCTGCTGACCCCGGCTCCTCCATCACCCGCTATTCCCGGGAAATTCAGCTCCGCTGACCCTGGCTCCCCGGGAATTCGGTACTCCAACTCCCTGTGATCCCGCATCCTCCACAGCCCAGKGCCCCAGCTCCTCGGGAGCTCGACTCCACKGAGYGCGGCTCCCCCACGGGAACTCATCYCCCCCGTTCCCAAGTCCTCCATGACCCAGCGCTCCCCAGGAGCCCGGCGGCCGCGGCTCTTCCACCGCGCGGTATCCCAGCTCCCCGGGCACTCCGGCTGCCCCGGGGCTCCTTTCCGCTGACCYCAGCTGCTCCGTAACCAGCACTCCGGCTCGCCGGGAGCCCTCATCCACAGCACCCCGGCTTCCCGGTAGCTGCCTGSCCCCGGCACCCCAGCACCGACCGTTTCTCGGCTCCCCGGCACTCCCAGCTCGCTCGCAGCGCCTTTCCGCGGGCTGTCTTCCCGTTCCACATCCCCACCTTCCCCGCTCCTCGCTTCCCGGAGCCCCTCGGTGACCTCGCCTGTCCCCGCTGCAGATCCGCGCTGCCCCCCGGCCCCCGGGCCCCCCGAAGGCGCGGCCATGGCGTTCATGGTGAAGAGCATGGTGGGCGGGCAGCTGAAGAACCTCACGGGCGGCCTGGGCGGCGAGGAGAAGAGCGAGGGCGAGAAGTCTCCGGCCGAGGCGCAGGGCATGACCCGCGAGGAGTATGAGGAATATCAGCGGCAGCTGGTGGAGGAGAAGTGAGTGCCACCGGGCACCGGGCACCGGGACGGGCCGGACCCCTGCGGGAAGGGGGTGCTCCCGCTGCGTCCCCCATCCCGTGCATGGCAGCCGGGGGGAGCCAGCCTTGGGGACAGCAGGACCGTGAGGGAGTTTAATGAGCCCCCTAATCCCTTAATCCGCTTCCTCGCCGGGAGATGGGATTGTTTTCTCCTTTCAGGCTGCGCTGGGGGGAGGAAATGGTGGGAAAACGGGGCTTTTCAGAGAAAATGGGGGGMACTGAGGTTGGGGGGAAGCGCAAACACGGGGGTGGGGGACACGGGCTGTTGGTGAGTGCCCCGTGTGCTTCGCAGGATGGAGAGAGATGCTCAGTTTGCCCAGCGCAAGGCGGAGAGAGCCACGGTCAGGTCCCACTTCCGAGACAAGTACAGGCTCCCCAAGGTACGGCTGTGCTGGGAACGGGGGCGCAGGGGCAGCCGAGCTTCGGGCGGAGCTCTGGAGGGAGGGAGAGGGACAGGGACCCCTCTGGCTGGCCGGGCTTTGAGCCACAAAACCCAAATGCGAACGAGTTCCCCWCAAAACCATCCTTCTCCCCAAATTATGGCCGCTCTCCTTCCACCCCCGAGCACCGCACAGCACCAGCCCCAGACAGCGGGACTCCCAGCCTTGCTCGATCCAGCTCCTCCTCGCTTTTGCCCCCTAAATCCGGCTTGGTGAGGGAAAACCACCTTCACCTCAGACTCCCCGGAGCTGGGAGTGGAGCCGGGGTCACACCTTTCTGCCTGGATTAGCCAGCTCCTCTCCCCGGATTATTTGGCAAACGTCTGCCACCGAAACTCCGGTTCTGAAATTTCCGCACGATGAACGATTCACTAAAAAACAATTTAATCAAGGGATAATTCAGCCGTTCTTGGAATTGTCACAAGCTCGTCTCCCTCCAAACCCACCCTTTATTCAGGAGGAGTCTCTCAGCGGTGAATACTCCAAATTGGAGCCGGGCTAATATTAGTTGCGAAGGGTCAGCTAAGCCAAGTGAGATTGTTCTGATTGTTTGGCGTTGTTCAGCCAGCCTGGATTCGCCCTGCCCCTGCTTCCCACCCCCCTTTTATCGCCAGGAAATAAACAGCCGCAGGATTTCTTTTACCCCCTGCCAAAAGCCAGAAAAGGCAGAGATGGAGATTTTTTTTTTTTTATTCTCCAGGGGAAACTGGGATTTGTTCGCATCTGGCCCCACAATCCCTTCAACTGCCTTGTCGYGCTCGAGATGTCCCTTCTCATCTTTTGACAAGTTTCTTCTGCTCATTACTGATCCCGCCTGGCAGCCGGGCTGCCTCCCTCATCCGGGGCGTCCCCGCGGCTCCCGGCGCGGAGCCGGTCCCGATCGCCGCTGGGAGCGGTCCTTAAGCACACGMGTAGCTTAATGAGGTTCCTCACCCCCCGCCACGCGAGCTGAAACCCAGTTCGCACTGGTGCTGAGCGTGGGTTTTCATCTCAGCTCCCGCTGCGAGCGCCCGGGCTCTGCTCAGCCGCGATCAGCGTCCCACCCCGACCCGCAGGGCCCTTCCCACGCGGTCCTTAAGGGGGGAGGCGGCCCGAAACCCCTCCTGTGGGGTTTGCAGACGCTTCCAGGAGCCCCCTTCCCGCTGTGCCATCCCCCCCGCTCCTGACTCTGTCCCGACCCGTTCCAGAACGAAACGGATGACAACCAGATCCAGCTGGTGGGAGGCGACGTGGAGCTGCCCAAGGAGCTGGCCAAGATGATCGAGCAGGACAACGAGGAGGAGGAGGAGAAGAACTCGGTGATCGGCCAGCTCAGCAACATCCAGAACCTGGACCTTGATTCCTTGAAGGACAAAGCTTCGGCCACGCTAGAGGACCTGAAGCAATCGGCGGAGAAGTGCTCCGTGATGTGACGGGGCTGAGCCCCCCTCGCCGCCGGCGCGACGGCGGGGGAGCGGGGAGGGGACGCAGCGCAGGCTCCGGCGGGGACCGCTGCCTGCGGCGGGGACCCCAGCGACGCCGTCACCCTTTGCCGTGTGTCACTCGGGCCCTCCTGAGCCGTGTGACCCCTCGAGTCCCTGGTGTCCCAGATGTCCCTGATGTGTGGTTTCCGTTCCGTTCTCCGGGCTGAGCTTAGAGCCGAGAGCCAGCATGTGCCCCCCGTACCCCACCGCCTCCTCCCGCGCCCCAAACCAGAGCCGGGCAGGCGGCAGGGAAAGAAGCAGAATGACCTCGGAGTGTCATTGACCCACGCCAGCGTGGCAAGGACGCTGCGCGGTGGCTCTGCCCCCACACTTCCACTCGGCCTCCCAGAAACCACCCGGAGGCTCCGATTTGCCTCGCAAGGACGAGGCAGGGTGTGGAACGCCCCCCTCCCCGCGTCCCGTAGCCATCACCCGAGCAGTGACATCCCATCCCCGCAAGGAACGCCACCCCCGTGCCCTTGAGGGTCCCCGGGAAGGAGCCAGCCGGGAAGGACCCGCTACATGATCCCGTTCATCCCTGCGGGGAGGGGTGCTGAGAACCGCAGGGCTGAATCCTCAATTGACACCAGAGAGGAATAAAAGCCCTCCCTGGTGCCCGCACCAGCCCTTCCCCTCTCCTGGGGTGGGACGCGCTCGTGTCCTTGTTCCCTGCAGGAGAAGAACAGAGTGATATGGGAACATCTCCCCGCCCTCCTGCTCTGTCGTGCCGTAGTTCGTGCGCTGTGCTCGGTCGAGTGTCCCTCACCTCCTGTGCTGTCCCCGTGCCATGGTACTGTTATAACCGGTGGAATAAATACCAGGAGATGTCTATGCATTTCTTTTTCTCCCCGAGCTCTGTTTTCCTGGCCCAGGTTTTGGGGTGCCCTTTCCCGATCCAAGGAGAACAGCATCCCGGAGAAAGCACTGCTTCTGTTTGGTCTGGGACAAAAGGGATGCTGCGAGCAGCTCATCGTCGGGTTTAAAACCAAACAAAATTCTCATTTTTCACAGGATTTGGCTATTTTAACATAAAACCTTGGGAACACTCAGTCTCACGGGCACTGCGGGATGCCTGCGGTGCCGCTCTAAGCAAGGACAYGTCTCTGCAGGGATGAGCCCTGTGCGGTAGCACGGGTGTGACTCCCAGCCCTGAGCCAGGGGGCTCCTGCCGTGAGGCCTCCTGGAAAAACTTGGCATGGGCTGGGAATTTATCGCTCCAAATCCCGTGGGAGCTGATCAGCTGCCGTTTGGTTTGGAAGRGGGAGGTGGGTCACCCAGGAAAGCATGGGAGAGAGTGCAGGGAAGCTGATCTCGTTAATATTATTATTAAGGATGTCGGACCAGGACACGTCTGCCAGGTCAAGAGATTCCTTTCTACCCCCTGATAATCCTTGTGCCAGGGCCAGGGGGTTCTGGGAAACTCCTGACGTCCATCCCTGAAAGGACAGACAGACAGACAGAGGCAGCCCAGGAGTTTCTCTGCCTGTGGGGACACACATGGGATCAGGAGACCCACCAGCAGCTCCGGGGACATGTGCTGCCATCAGATCCCCAGTCCAGCCCCACACGGCAGAGAAACGACAGGGGAGATTGGCAGCAGCAGCTTTAGCTCTGGAAGGGGATCATACCTGATGAGGATCAGCCCAAGCTGAGCTAATCCCCMACAGGAAAGGGATAGCAGGGAGCGGGCATGGCCAGAGCGAGCCCTTGGTGTTTAAATCCGACAGCAAGGCATGATCAGCAAACATCCCATGGGAGCGCAGGATCCCAAGAGGAGTGGGGAGCTGTGGGGCCAGATRTGCAGCCCTGTGGTTCATGCCCCCAAAACCGGACAGGCCTTCCCCCATAACCACCCAGGATCATCCTCCCCAAAACTGGCTAGGATCCCCCACAACCAGCCAAGATCATCCCCCCATAACCAGCCAGAATCCCATCCACAACCAGCCATGGTCATCCCCCACAATCAGCCAGGATCATCCCCACAACCAGCCAGGATCATCCCCACAACCAGCCAGGATCATTCCCCCACAACCAGCCAGGATCATCCCCAAAACCAGCCAGAATCATCCTCAAAAACAGCCAGGATCATTCCCCCACACCCAGCCAGGATCAYCCCCACAGCCCCCCAGGMCCCCCTCCCACACCTTTCCCCGTTCCCCCTTCCCCCGCTCTGCTCCCGGCGCTCTCCCATTCCCACGTGCCGCCACGCAAAGGCCGCGTGAAGCTCGGCGGGTTTATTTTCGGAGCCTCCATGACCCCCAGGCATGTGAAAAGGCGGGCAGCACGCTCTCCCCCCGCCCGGCTCCCCGCGACGTGTTAAGCCTCAGCAAAGCGTTCCCTCCTCCGAGGATGCTCCCAGCCCGCATCCTTCCCGTTCCCGTGCCTGGATCGGTGCCTGTGGCCGGGAGGAGAGGCTGGGATGGGGGAGCAGGAACAGGCAGCCCTCCTCCTGCCCTTTCTCTGCCCAAAAAGGGATTCATCCCCGTTTCCAGCTCTTCCCGCTGCTGTATCCCAGTTTCCTCCACGCCGTACGACTGCTCCGGGCACCAACACGCAGACTAAAAATCTTCAAGTGAAGAATAAGTGTGGGTTAAAGCAGAAAATGAGGTTTTTTTCCTCTTTTACGGGCCCTATATAATTTCCTCACCTATGGAGCCAGGATTGGGATGGGTTTGTCCAAGAAAGCTTGGAAGATGCTGGCAGCAGGGAATTTTGCTGATAAAATTAAGTAAATTGTATTGATCAAATAACATAATTTTTATTGAAAAAAAACCCTGCCTTCCTGCACCAGCTGCAGGATCTCCCTCCTTCCCAGTGCGGGATGAACGAGTGGCTTCCCAAAAGGATAAAGCATTAAACGAGCAATTGTTAAAACACTGAAACAAATGAGGCACCATGAAAGGCTGGGAATCTCCCTTCTCCTATTTGCAGGCAATTAAACTTTTTTTTTTTTTTTAAAAAAAAAGGGAAGGGATGGCCCATCCATCCACCCACCGCTGGTCCAACAATCGGGATTTATCCAGATTAAAGGGCCCTGGGAAAGCCCAAGGTTGGCTCCGCACACTGACCCGCTCTCCCCACTCCACCGCGCCTTTGACCTCGCGTCAACCCACGGGCTGGCACCACGAGGGTGACAGCCCATCTGCCGCTGCCACACCTCTCTGGGTGACAATCCGGCTCCAGGAGGGTTGGAGGAGCCCTTTGGGAGAGCCGGGGGAACTCACGGAAGGGGGCTGGAGCGGAGCAGCTCCTCCCTGTGCGGGCTCGCTTCGTGCCACCTTCCCTCGGTGACATTCGGCCAGCGCTCCAAACCTGGTGCGGGAGACCCCCACATCCCCCCCGACACAAAACCGGGCCACCCCGAGCTCTGTCACCCTCAGGGGAGCATCCCGAGGCTCGTCCTTCATCCGAAGGCTGGGGAATGGGCCGCGCTGGCGGCCGAGCGTGAAGGCAGATGCGATTATCCGCGCCGGCTGCTGCTGCCAGCCGGTGCAGCCGTCCCCGGCGGCTCCGCGCCCGCCACGGGCCGGGGGAGGAYGCGGGCTTGGAAAGAGCTTTAAAGCCTGGGGATATAATCTCTGCTYCCAATAAATAATAATAAATAATAATAATGAAAATATATAGAAATGCCTGGTCTCGTCTACCCGGGAAGCACGGTTTGAGCGTGGAGCAGCCRGCGCAGGGGCAGGATCTGGAGGGAAGGGTGTCTTGGGAAGAGGTCAGAATAACCATGGGACACCCCAAAAATGCCCCATGGCTTACTCCAGCTCCTCTGCCTTCCCTTGTGGCCCRGCTCGGCCCTTCCTCACCCGCCACAAAAAGCTATTGGAGAAAACAGGATTTTACGTAACGGCTCGTGTTGTTCTGCTCCGTGTTTTCCACACAGGCAAAAAATAAAAGGATGGGAAGTGAAAACAAGGTCAAACCTTGCTTTGGCTGCCTCGTGTCCCCCGGGAGCACAGGAAGGGAGGAGGGCACTGCTGGAGCAGGGGAGGGGACACCCCGGGTCCCCAGCCCTCCTCRATGGCTCCAGGAGCCCAGGCTGCCTCTGGGTGCTGGGCTTGCCTGGGGACCCCTCGTGGGGCTCAAATCACAAACCTGAGTGTGCAGGTGGTGGAGAAACCAAAAYTAGAGTTTATTAAAGACAATAAATTACATTCCCTTGAGATACAGTAGATTTTGAGACAAAATCCCTTGTTTTCCAGGACCTCAGCACCCCACACAAGTGACTCCCAGAACATGATTCGGATCTTGGGGTCGTCAGAGCCCTGAGGAGTGGAGCAGAGCTGGTGGRGTGCCGAGGGTGTCTCCCTGAAGGTGATTGATTCCCGCTCCATCAATCCTCGCCGAGCACCGCTCACACTCATAACAGCGAGGATGCCATCGGTACCTGCCCCGCTCCAGGTGTAGGAGGGAAAATCCTCATTCCCAGYGCTCCAGCAGCAGTGAGAGGRAGGTGAGGCCGGGCTGGGACAGTGCAGGGGGGTGCTGGAGGCTGGACGAGCAGCGCTGGATGCTGAGGTAGACGCCGAGCGAGGAAGGCACAGCGGAGCATCCCCGTGCACCCTCAGCTCCCGGCTGGATCCGTGCACCCGGGCTGGGCAGGCTCCCCCGGCATTTGGGAGCAGGAAGAAACACCCAGCCCAAAAAGCAGGGGGGAAATCCTGCCAGAGCCCAGTGCCAGGATAAAAATACCCTTCCCGTGGCAGCCAGCGGCGGGAATTAGAGTGGAATAACCCGGCCGCCGTGCCGGGGGAGGCTGCGGCGGCAGAAGGTCGAGGCAGGGCGGGCAGGGAAATGAGCCAGCGCCTGCCAGAGGGGCAGATGGGCCCGCAGAGCCCCCGGGACCGACAGCCCCAGGGTGACCCCCGAGGCGTCACCCCGGTGCAGGGGACGGAAGCCTTTGCGCCGGCGCGTCCTRGCAGGGCAGCGAGGAGCGTCACTGYAAGGTACAGGCTGTGCCGGGGGACACAGGGGACACTCACTGGGCTGCACTCGCCACTGCCACCCCGCCGGGCGGAGACACGAGGGTGTGCAGGGCCRGGATGTCCCCGTGCCATGGCTGTGGCAGCTGGAGGGACATTCCCCATGTCCCCTGGGCAGAGGGGCACTCACCGCTCCGGACGGACTCTGCCAGCGCCTCCTTGCCCATGGATTGCGCCTCCCGCATCTGCCGAGGGAGAGGAGGCTTTTCCAGCCTTTATCCACCCCCAGCCCGCTCCGGGGTGCCCCCGGTCATCCGTACCTTGATCTGGTCCTTCAGGTACTCGGCTCGGGCCATCAGGGTCTGGATCTGGCAGGGAGACAGAGGGACAGAGGACACAGTGCCTCCGCAGCCGGCCCACAGGGGACAGTGGGTGTCACAGGGCTGGCACTCACCTCAGCGTGGAGCAGCTCCCGCCGCCGCCCCGCTGGCTCCGCTGCAGGGGGAGAGGAACGTGCCATGGGGTGAGGGAGGGGAGCAGGATCCATCCCTGCGCTAAACCCCCCGCCACAGTCCCAACTCACCGGCCAGGAGCAGCAGCAGCTCCCCCAGGCTCTGCTGGTACAGCTCCAGGGTGTCACTGTCATCCCTGCCTTCCTCCTCCTGCGAGAGACCCCGGGGACTGCCAGTGGCTGGGGGGATCCATCATCCCCTCCCCACCAGGTTCGCACCTTCCCCTTCCCTCCGGGGGTGAGGGAACCCCAAGCCCACCCCTCACCTTGGCGATGGCGGCCGAAGCCACCTCCAGCGCYGCGCAGAGCCGAGGCTTGTCCTTGGCCATCTCTGCAAGGGCACGTGGCAATGGGGATGGCCCAAAACCTTCACCCTTCAGCCCAAAACCCCGCCAGCTCCAGCACCGGGGGATCCCCAAAAAGCTCTACCTTTAAGGAGCTCTCTGGCTGGATTGCCTTTCTCCAGGAGGTTCTTGTTGCTGGAGGTGACCAACACCTTCAGCTCCTCTGCTCTGGAGATGTACTGCCCCACCTGTGCACGTTTTGGCGGTGAGGAGACCCCTCAGATGGAGTGCAGAGGATGGGGATGCTGCCCCCCACCTCCCCGGGGGTTTTGGCTCACCTTGGCCCTGATGGCTTCTTTGCGWCGCATGTCGCTTTCATCTGAGGGAAGAAACAACAAAACACCGGGGTGGGTGGGATGAAAACCCCCAAAAATACACCCAGACCCCACACAGACCCCGGGGGACTCACAGTGCAGTGCTGGCACAAAATACTCCAGAGCTTTGCAGTAGAGGGAGAGGGCGGCGTTGGCGTCCCCCTCCTGATCCTTCCTCACCGCCTCCACCACCAGGTTGGTCTGGGGAGCACAAAGCGGGGGTCTCAGAGCTTGGAACCCCCCCAGACCCAGGGAGCAGCCCCCAGACCCCGCTCACCGCCTTGCCGAGGCTCTCGGGGCCGGGGAYGTGCTCCATGTCCACGAAGGGGTGGGCAAAGAAGCGCTCGAAGGAGATGCGCTTCAGAGGGTCCCTCTCCAGGAGCTGTCCCAAGAGATCCCGGCATTCCTGAGAGAGCTGGGGCCGGCTGGGAAGCTGGGGAGGGACAGGGCTGAGCCCACTGACCGCTGCCAGAGCCCYCCCAGCTCCMTCCSGCCCCAYGGTACCTCCACAGCCCGGTCACTGCGGATCTTCTCCTCCAGCTCGGCGAAGGAGCGGGAAGCRAAGGGCGGCTTCCCGAAAAGAGCTTCTGTGGGGGGAAAAATGAGCCGTGGTGGGAGATGAGAGGGGGAAACCAGCCCAGAGCAGGGGGGAACGAAAGGCAAACCCACCGTAAAGGATGACGCCCACYGACCACAGGTCCACGCGGGCGTCGTACTGCTGCCGGCACACCATCTCGGGGGCCATGTAGAGCGGGGAGCCCCGCAGCACGTGCTTCTCGTCCCACGGGGACATGTACTGCGCAAAGCCGAAATCTGCTGGCGACAGAGCTCGTGGGGCACGGGGAGAGGGCATTTCCCCCCTCCCAGCCCCTGGCCGGGAGCTGGCCTGACCTGCCAGCTTCAGCTGGGGGTTCTCCGGGGCGCTCAGGAGGATGTTCTGTGGCTTCAGGTCCAGGTGGGAGATGTTGCGGTCATGGAGGAACTTGAGGGCGCAGGCTGGGCGGGCGGATGGGCGCGTGACAGCACGGCCCTGCACCCCAAAACCCCCGGGAAGGGTCCCCACCGGGGAGGGTGTCCTTACCGAGCTGCTGCAGGAAGACGCGAGCCACCTTCTCCGGGAGGATGCGGCGCATCCGGATGAAGCGGGACAGGTCCCCCCCGGCGCAGAACTCCATGATCAGGTAGATGTGGTCACTGTCCCACTGCCAGGCAACAGGACCCCGTGGTGCCACCCCAGCCAGTCCCACCCACACRGGCTCGCCTGGACCAGTTCGCCCAGTTGCGGGCACCGAGCCCCATGGATACACCCYTGGGAAGTGGGGATGGGTGCGAGCCTGAGGAGTTCAGGCTCAGAGCCCCCCGGGGAAGCCCCCAGCCCACCTGGAAGTCCTTGAGCTCCACAATGTTGGGATGGCGGATGGTTTTGAGGATCTCGATCTCGGTCAGCAGGTTCTCCACCGATGCCCGGTTCAGGCTCCTCTTGTTCACGCATTTGATGGCCACCACCTCCCGCGTGTCCCTCTGCCAAGGGGGGCGGGCAGCCCTGGAGCCCCCCACCCAAACCCAGCCCGCCGGACGGGGAGGGGAGGGAAGGGACCCCTGCAAGGGGGCGGCTGCAGGTGCCGTGAGGGGGCTCTAGGGGGGCTACCCCGTGTGGAGAGCTGTGAAAGGGGGGTCCCACGGGAGCGGAGGGGTAGAATGGGGAGCAAAAAGGAGACCCCMGCGGCGGGCTCGGCCTTACCTTCCTGTAGGCCTTGTAGACGGTGGCGTAGGTGCCGGAGCCCAGGCGCTCGGTGAGGATGAACTCGTCGAGGCGCGGAGGAGCCCAGCCGGCCCCTGCCATGGCTGGCCCGGCCCCCGGTGCCGCACTCGGGCCACGGGAGCCGCTTCCGCCTTCCCGGCGCGCCRCGGCCCTGGCCACGCCCCCAAGGACGAGACCACGCCCCCAATACACAAGGCCACGCCCCCAGCCTCACTGGCCACGCCCCAACACCGCCCCGCCCCTTTCATCCGCGCCACAGGCCCCGCCCCTTTCGCATTGACCACTCCCACAATCCCCGCCCTCTCGCCATGACCACGCCCCCTCCCGAAGGCCAGGGCACCGTGTCTGGACCACATAGACATTTTTTATTAATAATTTTTTAAACATTAAAAGATCAGACGCGGGGAAAAAAAAAAATAATACAAGAGGAAAAGGGTGTAAAAACGCTGATTTCTGCATCCCAGCCCCCACATGCCGCCCCTCACCAGTGSTGGATGGGAGTCGAACACAACTCCCACACTGGGAAAGGGACACCACAAAGCCAAATCTGCATTAAATCCCCTCCCCGACGCCCAAAACGCGGGGCTGAAAGAGGGAGAGGTGCGAATCTGTCCCCACATCCACCCTGCCCCTCACCCRTGTCCCCAGGGAGGTCCCATCCTGGGATGCAGCTGAACACACATCAAACCAGTTCCTGCCCAGCTAAAAAAAAATTAAATTCGCGAGGAGGAAGGCAGGGAGGAGCCTTCCCTGGAGAAAGACTCATCCAAGGTTAGTTGGAGAAGGACGTCGCAGGCACTGCGTGACCCGGCGTCTTCAGCTGCCCCAACCTGGAGCTGGGACAAAATCCCAAAAACCAAAATCCCTTTTCCCCCTCCCTCCCCTGATTTCAAGTCACTGAGAAGACTCAGCCCCCGCTGATCCCTTCTCCCCGTCTCCTGTYGCCTGCAGGATCCTCGTGGAAGCCAAGGACGTGCCCTGAGGGGGGACCAGGAGAAATGCATCCCCCCACACACTCCCTGCTGCTCCCAGATTTTCCTTCACGCCATGTTATCCCGGCTCTCAGGCAGCCGAGCAGTTGCGAGGTCAAAATACAGCATCGTGTGAGTGTAATAAACCCAAAAGTACAGTTTCTGTTCTTAAAATTAACGCCACAAACTACATGCACATTACAAAACCCTCCCAAAACAGCAGATAATCAAATTCTTCGTAGCAAAGGCCAAGAGAAGAGAGAGAGTAAAATCAAAAAACCCACTTCCCCTCGTCTTCCTGCTACAGACGGAGTGAGGGGAGGAAGAGACAAACCCCCGGAAGGTCCTGGAGAGAGGAATATTTGCCTCAGAGAACGTCTTCCCCCATCTCCCCACACCCTAAAACAAGACAGGGAAAGCTAATCATCAAAACCGTAGCTCAGCTGAAGCTAAAAAAAACCTCTCCTCGTCAGGAGTCGGCATCACAGAGCTCACATGGTACCCCCAAAAAGTGCATTTTTAGGAAAAAAAAAAAAAAACAGAAGGTTGGGGTGATGAGGAAGCGAGAGGGAGGCAGCCCTGGCAGGGCTGGGTTTCCTGGGAAGGGCTAATTCCCCCGGAAAGCGCTCTGTGCAGCTGAGGAGGCCGCCCCGGCCGCCGCGTTCTGGAAGCTTCTGTTGGTCAGGATGCCTTGGGAAAACTCTTCCTGGGCCCTTTGGAAGCTGGCTCCGGTGCGCCGATACAGGGAGTGCACCTGCAACAAAAACAGGGAGGGGAAGAGTGGAAATCACCGTGTTTCTCCTCAGCTCCATCACTGACCAGCTGGAAAGGATGGGCTGGAGAGCTGCAGAAATTAATCAGGGATGCTGTGGATTTCAGGAGACCAGAGTTTGCTGTAAAATGTGGAATTCTCAGCAAAATTCTCTTGCTGRTTTCACACCCAAAACTCCCCACGCTGCGATGGCACAGATTGAACCCAGCGTTTAGTGCAGGGCAGGACTTGAAGGTGCCAGCAGCATCAGGTATTTAATGATGAGATAAATGTAGGAGAAAAGGAAGCAGCARTAAGAACAGGATCAGTCCAGCCTGTCCTTGCCTTCGCCCAGGCTCCGTTTCTGCTGCTCCTGCAGAAATCCAGCCCTGCTGTGGAGGAGGGAGGAAGGTTGTGTGTAGGAGCCAGTGGGAGGGCACTCCTTGGCATCCCAGGCTTTGGAAAGCCCCACAAGGCTGTGGGCACAGGGATTGTAAAGCCCTGGATACTGAACAGAGCCATGTCCAGGCCACCTCTGCTCTGCCAGCTCTGGGCAGGACAAGGGGGAATGGGCTCAAACTGCCAGAGGGCAGGCTTGAATGGGATGTTGGGAAGGAATTCCTGGCTGGGAGGGTGGGGAGGCTCGGGGGTGGAATTCCCAGAGCAGCTGCAGCTGCTATATCCCTGGCAGTGTCCAAAGCCAGGCTGGACAGGGCTCGGAGCACCCCGGGACAGTGGAAGGTGTCCCTGCCACGTGACTCTAAAGGGAAACTCCTTCCCACTTCAACTGTCCAAGAAATTCAGCAGTGATGCAGGAAGACCAAGCAAAAATGCTTTCCTTGAAACCTCCCGCCCCACCAGTGCCCCCATCCCGTCACCATTCCCACCGGGTGAACGGAGGCAGCAAACCCGGGACCCCCGGGAGCAGCCTGAGCTCTGCCRGCCTCCGAGCCACTCACCTGCTTGAGGAGGAAGAGGGAGAGGACAGCGCAGAGCGTGAAGAACGCTGCCACCACCATCATGATCACCACCACGGCCAGGTTGCCGTGCACCTCGGACAGCGCCGCGATCCAGCCGCTGCCAGGGAGAGGAGGGGACACGGTGAGCGTGGACAGACAGAGTAGAGCAGGGACAGGCACCCACAGCGGCTTCAGGGAAATGTTACAGGGGAGCACAAAACCAAAGAGGAGCCCATCCAGGCCCTTTTTTGGGGATGGAGTTTGTGTTGGTATTTCCAGAGGAGGATTGTGCTCATCCCACCCACATTCCAGCCCTGCGCCCTCCCCTCAAGCAGCAAAATCGATACCCTCGGCGCCAGCAGTGGCTTCCATGGGTACCTTCTCAAAATTCAGCCAGGTGGGGGACAGATAGGCTGGAACAGCTAAATTGGAARAGATCAGCAGGCAGGGCTGGAGCCTGGACCTGCTGTCACCCTGACAGGGATGTAAAGGTTGGGAGCGGGAGGAAGAGGTAGGAAGAGATGGAATTRCTGAAAACCTGGCACAGGTGGCCCAGAGATGCTCTGGCTGCCCCTGCAAGTGTCCCAGGCTAGGCTGGATGGGACTTGGAGCAACCTGGGATAGTGGAAGACACAGGGAGTAAAATTAGATGAGCTTAAAATTCCTTTCCAACCCAAATCGCTCTGTGATTGCACAATTCTAAGYTACAGACACCGGGAGCTGTTGAAAGGAAGAATTCAAGGCTTGGCTGCGGCTGAGAATCCCAAAACACCTCACCGAGAACACCTTCCCGGGTGCTGCAGAACCTTTCCAACTGCTAAACCGAGCACGCYGTGTGCTGCCGGCAGAGAGGGAACGCAGCGAGCCCGAGGGTCCCATCGGTGGTGTGGCACCGCTCCTTGCGGCACGGAGAACGGAGAGGCACACCACGCACCGCAGCCGAAAATACCCGCGCTGTCTGGCGGCAGGAAACGGAGCAGAAAGCTCCAGGCGGCCTCTCCAGAGCCAGACTGCGCCCCCTCCCCGTCCCCTGTGACTCAGGCAGAGGGGGGAGGCCGGGGACAGCTCTGCCCATGGGGCAGCGGGCAAAAATAGACRGCAGCTCGCAGCTGAAGGCTTCCCCCGGGGAGCAGCACCGCGAGCTGCTAACCTTTTCTGCGGAACATGGGAATGGGAGCTGCAGCCGAGGCAGCAAGGCGAAAGGAAAGGCTCTGCTCTCCCTGCAGGGCACAGCTGCTGACACGAGGCTGCTGGAGCTGCTCCAGAAGCCCAGGCTCACCCTTCTGGGCAATGTCACCGAGAAAGGGCGAGGCTAAAACCGCGCTCTCCAGAGAAATTCAGGAAGAGTTCAGGCACAGTCAGGCTGGTAGTAGTGGTATCGAGCTGAGCAGTGMCCAGATTCCAGGTCAGAGATCCCTCAGCCCCACACTCCCTCTGCCAGGGGAGGTTCCAGTTAAACCAGGCAGATCTGGTCCTCACTAGAGGAGCAAATAAGATCTGCACTGAGTGAGGGAGAAGTGGGAGATTTTTCACAGATTCTCAGAATGGTTTGGGTTSGAAGGASCTTAAAGCGCATCTSATTCCAATCCCATGGGCAGGGACACCTTCCACTAGCCCAGGGTRCTCCAAACCCCATCCAGCCTGGCCTTGGACACTKCMAGGGATYCAGGAGCAGCMACAGCTTCTCTGGGCACCCTGTGCCAGGGCCTGYCCACCCTCCCAGGGAAGGATTCCTCCCCAATATCCAGTAATTCCCACTCTGCCCTTGGAGCCAGCTCGCAGCAGCAGCCAGGGATTAGGATGGGAAGAGCTCAGCTGGCACCTGCCAAGGCTGTGCATGGGCTGAGAGAGGAAACCACGGCAGAAGGAACAGGCAGCTGTCAGAAACAGRCCCCAAAGCTCCTGCCAGTCACAGCCCTGGTGAGAAAAAAGGAGCTGTGACACTGTGACAGGCAGCGAAGCCAAGCTTACCTGTCTCCCCAGCCAGGAATTCCGACAGCCTGGATGATGTAGATTGCTATTTGGCAGAAGAAGACGAAAAAGAAGACGAAGAAGCTGAAGGAGCTGTCAGACCTGCGGGAGAGACGGCAGCAGGAGTGAAACCTGTGATCCCTGCACTGGAAGGGAACAACTTCAGTGAGCTCCTTCCTCCAGGGAAACACTGCTGAGGGGAGGTGATGTGGGGAGGAATTTGGGCAYCCAAATGTGTCCACTGCAAATCCAACACTCTGCCCAGGGCAAGGTGGGATGAAGGCAGCTCCCTCCACACACGCAGCGTGCTCATCATACCAAACAGYGTCTCAGAAATTAATAAAGGGAATAAAAAATGGATTAAAAACACCCCGTGTCGGCCTAGGCTTGGGCTTCAGGATGAAAAAGGATCACCATAATTAGGTTCTATCAGACAGATCTAATATGTTTAGCAACACAGTGGTTTGGATTTATCTAATGATGCAAAGAGCTGGAAAA